TAAAAGTCTTTAATACCACGAAAACGTTGCGTAAAAATGGGAATTATTTATATATAAACGTGTCGAAAAAGAAAAATTTACGCTTATCTTCGCCGTTTTTTAGTTTTTATTACATGGTAAATAAAAATTGATATAAAAAGGCAAAGTGTACGAGGGTTTGTGTGCCGGTAAATAAGAAAAATAGTGCCTCGAAAAGAAAAAAATGGTTGGCACACACAGCTAAGTTGAATATGACTTCAGGTACTCTGGGAACCTGACGGTTCGACCTGATCGTGTTTTTTGTTGCGCCGCTGGTTGTTGCAGCTGTGCATTACCAGGCACATCGTCGAGAATTTCGATAATTGAGTCATCCGTCGGTCGGATGTAGCGAGCTGAAACGTCACTTACAATGGGGTTGCCTTCGAAATAAGCTGGTTTCAAACGGTCGATACTGACAGTATCTTCACGTCCGCCTCGCTCAATTACATAGAATTTCTCATGTCGCTTAATCACTTTGAACGGCCCGTCGTAGGGTGGTTCAAGTGGTCGACGAACAGCGTCGTGGCGAACAAACACGTGTGATGTCTTCTGTAAACTGGGGTGGACGAAAACATCAGTCGTTTGCGGTCTAATCGGAGAAGGCCTAACTGAACGCATTGCGTTTGTAAGCCTAGTCACGTAAGATGCCCTGTCGGAAACATGTTTGAAAGTTGAAGGGGAAACAAACTCACCTGGTAGGCGAAGAGTGGTCCCATAGACGAGTTCTGCAGGAGTGCATCCAGCATCAACTTTCAACGCGTTACGAATACCTAGTAGGACTAGAGGCAGAGCCTCGGTCCACTGAGGTATGTTTGTAGCTGAAAGGGAAGCTTTCAGCTGTCGATGGAAACGCTCTACCATGCCATTTGCTTGTGGATGGTAGGCTGTCGTTCGGAACCGAGTGCAACCTAAAAGTGCCGTTAGAGCGTGAAATAGTCCGCACTCAAATTGGCGCCCACGGTCGGTTGTGACGTAGGATGGACATCCGAAGTTCGCGATCCATCTTTCGACGAAAACACGAGCAACTGTTTCGGCAGTAATATCTTTAATGGGTACTGCTTCCGGCCATCGTGTGAAACGATCAACACAGGTGAAAAGGTAGGTACATCCATTAGATTCTGGTAGGGGTCCTACAATATCTATATGGACGTGGTCGAAACGCATGTCTGGGGCTAGAAATGAGCCTAAAGGGCTTTTCGTGTGTCGCGTGACTTTACACTTTTGACAAGCTAAGCACGACTGGGCCCACTCCTTAACGTCTTTGTTCATCCCAGGCCAGCAGAAACGTTGTGCGATAAGCCTAATGGTGGCTCGTACACCTGGATGAGAGAGTTTGTGCAACGTATTGAAGACGTTGCGTCGACAACTCTTCGGAACTATTGGGCGTGGTTGACTAGCAGAGACATCGCACAAAATTGCATCCTTGTCTGATCCAACAGGACAAAGTCGCAGTTTGAGAGTTGTGGACGACAACTCATGATGCAGCTCAAGGTCTTCCTTTTGACGCCGAGCTAGTTCAACGAGATCAATACCCTCGATATAGTTTATCGAAGCTATTCGAGATAGTGCGTCGGCTGCGGAGTTGTTTGCTCCAGAAATGTGGCGGATGTCTGACGTGAACTGGGAAATGTAATCCAGCTGTCGCGACTCACGAGGGGAGTATTTGTCAGACGCCGAGCTGAGGGAAAACGTTAACGGTTTGTGGTCTGTGAAAATAATGAAATCACGACCTTCCACAGAATGTCGAAAATGGCGTACAGAACAGTACATGGCTAGGAGTTCCCTACCAAATGTACTGTATCTTGTTTCCGCGTCTTGCAGCCGCCTCGAGAAAAAGGCTAACGGTTGCCACTGGTTGTCAGTCAACTGTTGCAAAACTGCTCCAATTGCTGAATCAGATGCATCAACAGCAATACTCAGAGGAGCATTGGGGTCATGATGCATAAGCATGGTTGCGTTCGAAATGGCTTCCTTGACTTTGGAGAAAGCAAGTCTAGCCGCGTTGTCCAGAGACACGAACTTCGCAGTTCCTCGAAGTAGATCTGTGAGTGGTCTCATGACAGAGGCACAGTTAGGGATAAACCTTCGGTAATAACTTACCAGGCCATTGAAAGTGCGGAGATGTTTCACAGTGGTCGGCTCTGGATAGTTTGTGATAGCCGCCACTTTATCTCTCAATGGGCGTATACCTTTGTTGTCAATGGTATGCCCAAGGAAGCTGAGTGATTCAACTCCTATTTCACACTTCTGTAAGTTAACTGTGATGCCATGTTTTTTGAGTCTTTCGAATGCGAGGTCCAAATGTTTAAGGTGTGTTTCCTTATCTGGACTCGCAATTAGACAGTCATCGATGTAGACATGAACAAAATTCAGACCACGGAAGACGTCGTCCATAAAGCGTTGGAATGTTTGTGCTGCATTCCGAAGACCAAAAGGCATGCGCAGGAATTCAAACAGGCCAAAAGGAGTAATAATGGCTGTTTTCGCGATATCTTCTGCTGCCATAGGTATCTGGTTGTACGCTTTGACCAAGTCGATTTTCGAGAAAATGTTCATGCCGCATAAGGTTGCGGTCAAGTCGTAAACGTGGGTATAGGGTAGCAGTCCGGAGTTGTTTTGGCGTTAAGCCTTCGGTAATCACCGGTCGGACGCCAGTCGTTGCTATCCTTTTTGGGCACCATGTGCAATGGCGATGCCCAAGGACTGTTTGACGGTCTGATAATGCCCAGTTCGAGCATGTGGTCGAATTCATTTTTCGCCGTTTGCAGCTTATCGGGGGCTAAACGGCGAGCTTTGGATGCCACAGGTGGACCTGTGGTTGTGACGTGATGCATAACATTGCTGGTTATGCACGGAAGAGTGTGTTTCGGTTGTTGTAACTCTGGATATTTCTCCAGAACTGCCTGGTAGGACGCGTCGCCTGATTGTTTAGTCCTAACGATGGCTAAACTCGGACCTACATAGGTGGTGCCGCCAATAGATAACTTTGTGTTGTTATCTATCAGTCGTCGACGGCGAGCATCTACGAGTAGATCGTAATGGTTTAGCAAATCTATGCCAATGATGGGCATAGAGACGTCTGCCAGGAGGAAAATCCAGTGAATAGGTTTGCGTAAACCTAAGTTGAGGTAGGCATACCGTCTCCCGAATGTCGCGATTGCCTTGCCGTTGGCTGCTTGAAGATTGAAGGATGGGTCGAGATGACGCTCCTTTGTCGTTGCTGGAAGAACGCTAACTTCTGCGCCGGTGTCGACGAGGTAGCGGACTTTCGTTTTAATGTCGGTGACGTAGAGCAAACGGCTTTTTCCGCCGGCTACGGTTGCCGTGAGCACGTGCCGGCGTGACCGTTTCCCGAGTTTGTCCTTCTTAAAACGGCATGGTTTACGACATTTTCTGGCTTCATCCCCGTAAGTGTTATGAAACCAGCACCATTCAGGGTTTTCCACCCTGTTGGGTTTCGTTTTAGGGCTACCACGCGACTTGCTGCGATGCGCCAAGGTGCGTTTCTGTGAAGTGCTACGTGATCTAGGACTTCGAGATCGTAGCAACCGTTTCACAGAGTTGCACAACTTGGTCACCTCCGAATCCTGGCGCTCTGTTTTGTCGCAGATAGAATATACGTTGGAGACGGGTCTGCTGGATATCTCCAGTATTTTATCTGCTGAGCTGCCAGGTCGTCGAGTGGGACTGACTGGAGTGTCACCAACACGGTTTGCACCGGTTGTGGTAGTTTCGAGAGAAATAGTTCTCGGAAGAAACCATCGTCAAATGTTCGTGCACCGATTACTTCTCGCATGCGTGCGAGGACTTCAGTAGCTGAGTGGCTGCCTAGCTCGATGTTACGAAGCAATTCGTCTAGACGTTGGCGATCTGTGAGATCGCTTTTCTTCAAGAGTGCGGCCTTTAGAAGTGCATAAGGGTCACTTACTTCAGGATTAAACATGTTTGCTGTAACAAACCTGTTTAATTCTCGCGGTAGTGAACGTATGACAGCAAGAAATCGAGATGAGGATCTGAGACACCCTGTTCTCGAAAATCGGCCTCGGCATACAGAAACCATGTTTCTGCATTGTCTGGCCAATATGGCACGAGTTGGATCGTGTTCGAGGTCGGCTTAATACGAATAAGCTTGGGAGTGTGGTCGGACATGAGAAAGTGTAGTAAATGGATATATAAATGTTATCGAAATGAAAACAATAAACAAATATAAAATGGAACAGGCTCACCAATTCAATACTTGTTATTGGTCGGGATATGTGATCACGTCGGGATATTGATCACGTCGGGATATTGATCACGTCGGGCTCACCAATTTAGGATTTGTCCTGGTGCGAACTTGACAGACGCAAAGACCAATCACTAATTATTCGAACTTGTTATATACCCACGAATACGAGACCAAGGAAGAACACGATAGCGTAGTCGGATGGAATAGTATATTTGGATGGTTATGCCAAAATACCGATGCGTTCCAACTAACTGGCTAGAGAGTCGAATACGAGCAATGCAACGTAACACGACAGCGTGCCAAATGGCGAGGATGCTTGACCGGATGCCTTCAGCTTAGCGAGTCCAGTTAAACTATCAAGGTCAGCATCAATGTCGAAGTCGTCAAACCCTAGGCTATTGATTTTGGGGAAGTGTATGACGCTACAGTAGCTTTGTGTCACACCACATGGTTGGCCATTTGTGAATAAAACGTGATGTTGTCGGGTCTACACCAAGAAATTTGGAAGCCTGATACCCCAGCTGATTTAAGCAGGTCACAGCTTGTTCCTAAGAAAAAAGATTTCTTTACTGGAAAACGTCCTGCGATACGTACGAAGGTGGTTAACGTATATGATATCCAGTCTATGTGAACGACTCTGTAATAACCATCTGTTGGTAGATTGACGTCCACTTGTGATACTTAGAAAAACCGTGTCAGAAATTAACCAGTGTGTGTGTATTGTACCTTGTGTTCGACCTTGTCGGTCTAGGTCATCTGGCAAATTAAGTCGCTGCTCTTCAAATGTTCAGCGAACTGCCAGTTGAATTATTACAGTATATATTCCTGCTACTCTCCCCATGCAATGATCTCATAACAGTTCTCCATGTATGTAAACGATGGAGAGATGTTGCTCAAAGTGTATTGAAAATTCGCGAAAGTCTCAGCCTTTAGCGTTTCGAATGCGAAGTCCTTTGCAGTGGATGTCTCCACATTTAAATGCCTGTACTGCAAAGTCCAAGTGCACAGCTCCTTCCAAGAGGTTTGGGGCGACTATCATATTGAAAGAGCAATCATTATATGTCTTCGGTGGTGCTACAAAGGAACTTACTGCATTCAATGACTTATGGACTTTCGATTTATGCAGCCTCAATTGGAAGCGTGTTGTTGGTAAAGGTGAGTTGTGTTTACTTTTCAGTAGTTTCTATTGCGATATTACATTCTGGCTACTACATGGGGATTACCTGTGGTTTTTAATAAATGTCCTAAAGTTATCGGTTGAAACAAGCTAGTAATTTTAAGATTACTAGTTAAAGGATAAATAGAATCTCCTAGAATGTCATGCAAGCCACTTTGATAAGTTTTTGTGAACTGCCGTAAAATCCAAGTAACGGAGGATTTCGCTGAAGTTATGCTTGTGAAAACGTTTGCGCATTAAGCCAGTCATTCACTTCAAACTTCGTGTTGTAGAATTAGCGAACTGCGGTTCTTATTGGAATACGTTCTGAGTCATGTAAACATGCTAAGATTATCTTATCCATCTCTTCACACAACAGGAAAATGACTTCCTAAATTCAATGAAACAGATATGTTCAAATGCCTAAAGGCATTAAAAGCTCCGCAAAGCCTCGGGCGAGATGGCATGCAAAGTAGTTTATTTAGCAAATCTTATGATATTCTGTCACCTATTCACAAACTAATTTTAGTTATGGCGCCCTATATTTTGTTTTAAATTGCCATGACGATAAAATAGAGTAACTGCATTATCTTTATTTCCCTCACAATATTAGAGTGATAAGTCAGGACTGAATTCATAAATATTTTGAAGTGTCATTTATTTTTACGATGATACTCTTTCACATGAAGTTCTTGATCGTTGCACTTTTATAATTCATGTACATGAAGGCTACTTGGAAATGATGGCAAATACAAAAATAAATCTTAGGAGAGGTGGAAAATATATTCCTCTCATAATTAGCCGCCTACTGATAACCTATCTATCTGTCGATGCATTATATACTCTTACTCACGAGATTTCTAATTACGTAGTTTGAAGATTACTTTCGCATTTTATTTTTCTAACAGGAAACTTCCTACACCAAGAGCTCATGCTAAAGGAGGTTTTATCGAGGACGTACTCTATCTATACGGAGGTTGTCAAAGCTTTTACAGACCAGGATCAGAGCATACGGTAATAGTTTCTATATGCTTATTACTCCAAAAAAATTATAATTAACTTTTTATTGGAAAACCAGCCATACAATGTGTGGAGACCATCTCGCTGCAAAACCTTGATAGGTGAGGGTGGGTGCCTTGAATCAATGACCCTCTGGTTGTGAGTTAGGTGTATAAAAAAAATACAACACTTCACAAAACATCAATACAATATCAGTAGTTCCCTTAGTAGGGTTGCTCCAACGAAAAGTGAAAGGGTGAAAATGAATCTCCGCCTCTTATCACCAGATCAGGGGATGCTGAAGGTCTACCCAGGAGAGTTGGAAAACCCTGATTCCAAACCATTGGTGCACATGGATTTCAGGTTCCGAAAGAGATGATGGCATGCAAACCTGTTTTCGTCACCAGCAACCATGGGAATGCAGCTCATGATATTGCTCTACTGCCTTGTAGATTAGGCTTTAAGTCAAAGCCTTAGAGAGTGGTCTCCTGAGACAACCACCTGGTTCGGTCTGGGTGTTCGAGTAGTATCTCAGCTCTCACATAAAATATGAAACTACAATGTACAATTAATATTTCGAAGCACTTACCTAACCTTCCTGCAAATATCCAAGCCTTCTGCACTGTGAACACTACAACTAATTTTTCGATTCATTATTATATTGTTTTTGTTGCTTCTACATATGAACTGTACTATTTTCGCTTTTGTCTTTATCTTGACTTCGCTGAGTTGCTCTCAATTGCTTATACCTCTGGTCGATCTGTGTCGTTTCGAGTCGCCTAATCGTCGCCCCCACAAGGCTGTCCTCATGGACGATATCTGACACAGCTATTCTGAAGCTACATGTACTGTTTAAGCTCACCACCTTCGATTTTCGCACCTTGATGCAGATCGGACAATAGGTAGGTTTGGCTAGGACTCTGGAAAGCCTCGCTGTCGATGCATGCTGCATCTCAAGGGACCTGCATACGAGATCCCAGTGAAGTGCTTTGGATAATTTCCCCATCTTTTAGCTCAAAAAGTATATTTCATGTGCACTAATCCGTGGATCCTGTAGGATCGGCGAACGGCCTCGGTGGTGTCTCACTGAGCGCTAGAGCCAAAGCTGAATTACTCGACTAGATGCCCAGTTGGCTTGCTCAGACCCAGTGTTTATTAGCGGGACGTTCTTCCTAGCCCCAAGTACCTTTACTCGCCATTTTCATGGCGTCTCGCCAATGCGGCTAACGTTCGTCTACACTTTCTGCAGGATCAGTAGCTAGCCTTGAATCTAGCTCAGATTGGTATTTAGCTGCAACGTCAGGTACAACTAAATTGCTTGCATTGACCTGTTTGGGACTACTGTTTTGATAACTACCAAAACGCAAGATGAGCTCAGCACACACTAAATTATGATCAGAGTCCAGACAAGTACTCCGTATGAAGCAGCAGTCCTGTATGCACCCACACCATCGGTGGCTGACTGCAAAATGACCTATTTGAGTCCAAGTTTGAGTGGCAGAGAGAGGTCTTCAAGTAGCACAACAGGGTCCACGGATTAGTGCACATGAAATATACTTTTTGAGCTAAAGATGGGGAAATTATCCAAAGCACTTCACTGGGATCTCGTATGCAGGTCCCTTGAGATGCAGCATGCATCGACAGCGAGGCTTTCCAGAGTCCTAGCCAAACCTACCTATTGTCCGATCTGCATCAAGGTGCGAAAATCGAAGGTGGTGAGCTTAAACAGTACATGTAGCTTCAGAATAGCTGTGTCAGATATCGTCCATGAGGACAGCCTTGTGGGGGCGACGATTAGGCGACTCGAAACGACACAGATCGACCAGAGGTATAAGCAATTGAGAGCAACTCAGCGAAGTCAAGATAAAGACAAAAGCGAAAATAGTACAGTTCATATGTAGAAGCAACAAAAACAATATAATAATGAATCGAAAAATTAGTTGTAGTGTTCACAGTGCAGAAGGCTTGGATATTTGCAGGAAGGTTAGGTAAGTGCTTCGAAATATTAATTGTACATTGTAGTTTCATATTTTATGTGAGAGCTGAGATACTACTCGAACACCCAGACCGAACCAGGTGGTTGTCTCAGGAGACCACTCTCTAAGGCTTTGACTTAAAGCCTAATCTGCAAGGCAGTGGAGCAACATCATGAGCTGCATTCCCATGGTTGCTGGTGACGAAAACAGGTTTGCATGCCAATCGTCTCTTTCGGAACCTGAAATCCATGTGCACCAATGGTTTGGAATCAGGGTTTTCCAACTCTCCTGGGTAGACCTTCAGTATCTCCTGATCTGGTGATAAGAGGCGGAGATTCATTTTCACCCTTTCAATTTTCTTGGGAACCTCAGGTGCATGTAGGCAGTGGTTGCCTCTTCCAAATCTGAGTCTGTTAACTCATGCCAGAGCATACTGAGACCTTCTATGCCCCCGGAATTCGAGACCAGTATAAGCCGTTTGTATGTTAGGTTTTGTAATTGGAATGGGCTGGAGTGTGATCTGTCATGGTTTTCAAGAGAAATGAGCGAAACACAATCAACTGGGTCTCAGGAAAGCTAACAAACCAGTGAATCCTACCATAGCAGTTGAGATCCTTTTGGATACGTTTAGGTTGCTAAGGTCCCCAACAGAACCCGAAACTGATATCAGCAAGTAACTTCTACCCAGAAGATGAACGGATCGGGTGTTGTCTGAAACAGTACTTTTCAGTTGGACCCAAAAAAGCGAATGAATTCATGTTTTATTTCTTGATGGAACCCAGATTTACATAATACATTGTTCACTAATCTCAGCGTTTTCATACTATCATTTCCGCTCCATTTTTACGGCATGGTCGGTATTTAACCACTCCGCTGATTTCCAAGTTAATTCATTGATGTCTAATGCTCGCTTTCAATATGTTAGTGTTTCAAATTCTGGGCCGTCATATGTGATGTATATAAATATGTTTTTGGGTTAATTGACTATTTCTTATCGGAGGTAATAAACTCTCCCATCCAATCCGGTCTTCTCTATTTCTTCTATGGTTGAAGTCGATGGATCTGGCGTAAGAGGTTGGTTGTCAGTTAATCGTACATGTTACATCCTCTCGGGAACATAACAATAAGTACAATAATTTAGGAAAAAAATAATGCACTTGACTATCAACAAACTGTCGTACAATCAAAATGGAATTACGGTTGCTTCGAGATAAAATACGTAGGCTCACTCCTCGTCAAGTGTAGGTAGTCTGTGTTGCACTTCATCAATGACAAACGACAACAGTGAGGTGATATTTAAAGGAAGATGTTGGATTTGTGGTACTTATTGAATTAACGAAGTGTTATTTGTCAGGCAGTGATTGAAGAGCTATCTTCTGCACTTTCATACTTAACGCAATCAGTTGATAAAATGTGACTAGATAATTACCAACTAGTGAAAATTGTCAATTCTCGACACAACCTTGCACATGTACCGTTTTGGTCGTTGACATTTCAATACTGAGTTAATGCAGTGAGCTTGCTTCAGAATGCTTTCATTCCTGAGTTCTACTTAAAATTATACCACTTCTTAGTTTAGGTGTGTGTGCTAACCTCTGAATAAGTGCTGGTTCAAATTTCAGGACTCTTAGAATATTTTTGTAGTGACCGACTTCTGAGTTCTAAGGATATACTGTGATGAGTATCCTTGTTATAACCTATCGATCTCGATGATATGGCAACACTAGGTAATTACTTGCGTCTCATCAGATTATCTCTGTCCCCTTGAAGGCTATTATCACTAACCATAATCATATCTACATCAACCAAATGGACAAATAATAGTCAGCGTTTTTCTTGTATGAAGGAGTCAAGTATATCATATTCATGAGCACTAACGGGTGACAGAAAGTAGGAATAAAGGTCTGCGGAATGATAGTAGTGGCAGTAGTATTCAAATCTCTGAACTATTGAGGCGTAGTGAAGGCCGACTAAGCTGCTAACCCTCTAGGTGCATCAGGCATACTGACAGATAACTAGGAATTCACACATAAGTGACGCAGTTCAGGTCTATCCAGGTGGTTCACAACGGTTACGTTACTTTGACTGAGTTATCTTCAGTTCTTTTGACTTAATCTCAATGTACTTATCACTCGAAGTTGAGGCAGATTGTCATTTGACGCATCTAACTGCTCCAAAATTAGGGCATCATAGATGTGAAAATCAAAGAATTCGTGTTCACCTGAGAATAAAAAGAATTACAAAAATAGATGTTTTGAGTCTAATCTGAGCATAAAACTTGGGCACTGTGGTAGAATTTTATTGTGTATTACATTTGTTTATTTGATATAACACAGTGATACAGTATTATTTACATGCTATTGTCTCGAGCATAAATTGTCACTAATGATCATTCAAACTACTTAACATTTGACGTCTAGTTTTTATAGTTCTGTCACCTCATATCTTTTTTTAGTGATAGTGAAAGTTTCCACCCGTGGCATAGGCATTGTATCATTCCTACTATATATGTTGGGTGCTGATTCGATGAACACAAATTCAGTAATCAACCTCTTTTACCTAACTATATTATAATTAAATGGAGTTGCTTTACCACACTACGCTAAGCTTGGATTTCCATAGCGGAAATTGTTTTCCAAGTTATTGATTTTAGTAGGGTCTATCACTTCTCACTATACTAGTAGTAATGCATTCAGTTACCTTCAGCCTTCAAGTAAGGCGAGAGGTCCTCTTGTGATAACCACAGATGAATAAACCTGGCGAACATGGTGTCTAAAATCCTAGGTTCTATAAGTATTAGATACCGGAGTGGAGCTCGGGAACAGTAAAACCAAGAAAACCAGACAGGCCTCAGACCTGGCCGTGGATATATCGACTAAATATTCACGCTCCACCAGGTTCTGGAACACAGGCACGCTAACAGATGCCCGATATTAGCTGTATTTCTAGACCTGAAGGCGGCATTCTACTCTGTCGATCGAGAGGTCTTATGGCAATGTCTCAGTGAAAGAGGTACCGAGTAGGTACATCACCTTGTTGATTGTTAAAAAGCTATGGTGTTTGATTCGAAAAGTTCAGCTTCTTTCTTCCTTTACTATCTGGTGCACTGACAAGATCCCCAACTACTCGTCACTAGATAGGAATAATCAGTAAATCTGTTGAATTCCGTTATGGTGTGTGTGTGTGGGGGGTCTGGCCGTTCTGGTTCAAACTACGTAGAATTAGCAGTATTATACTCTTTGTGCCTTCGAGGCACAACTCTTAATAGCGTGTAGACTGTACTGAAGTTAAGGGTTTCGTTTGAGGTATGGAAAGTAAGACAGCTAATCTGCATCACCTACCATGATACACAACTGTAGTCGGGTTAGGAGTGGGTAGCGAAAGTAAAGTAACTCAGTTCAGTTCAAGTTTGAGTAGTGTTGGAAATTTAGGTCTGCTTACTAGAGTCCTTTGATGTTGGAATTAACGCCATGTATGAATGACTAAAACGAGGGACAGAACACTTCGAGAAAGTTTAACTGGCCTCCAGCTACTGTTTTGTTGCCCATTATCTATTGCAGCTTAAACGAAACATCAAGATAGTACCCCAAACATTTAAAGAGGTCGGGAAAGCTTTATGTAACCTAAAATGTGGAAGAGCAGTTGGACAGATGGACTAGTACCAGAGGTATTGAAGGATGTCGGCTACGGATTATTTTTCAGATCAACTGAAGTTTTAACCAGTGTATGGGAGTGATGTATGACCCCTCCTGACTGGCCTCAGTCACTGATTATCCCAGTCTTCAAGAAAAGTGAGAAGTCTTCCTGTGACAATCACAGAGGATCAGCATGGTCCCACCATCAGTGAACGCCGGAGTGGAGCTCGGGAACAGCGAGTCCGAGCAAACCAGTCAGGCTTCAGACCTGGCGTGGGTTTATCGACCACAAATTCATCCTCCACCAGGTTCTAAAACACAGACACACTTGTCGATACCTGACGTAAGCTGTATTTTTCGACCGGAAAGCAGCATTCTCCTCTGCCGATCGAGAAGTCTTGTGGCAATGTCTCTCACTGAGAGGGGTACCGAGTAAGTACATGACCTTGTTGAAGGTTCTCTACTCGAACACCTTTTGGCATCTCAGAGCCCATTGTGAGATGTCGAGTGGGCTGCGTATGTCGAGTAGTGTCCGTCTAGGATGCCTACTCTCCATTCTTACTCAATTTTATCATTGAAGTCCTAATGGTTGTCTTCCTTTCGTCGTCTGACTACACAGGCATTGACCCAATCACAGGAGAATTTTTTGGTAGACCTAGAATACGCAGATGATATAGTCATGTTAGGTGAAGACGCTGACAAGATAGTCTTCTGGACACATTGAGTGACAATTGAGAATGGGATGCGTTTCTCGCCACCCAAATGCAAATTGTTGCTGCAGGACTGATCTCCAACGGTGCCTCAGCTAACAGTACAGAGTGAAGTGGTTCAGTGCGCTGAACGCTTCACTTAACTGGGAAGTCGGGTCAGCCCTGGTGGGTCGGTGGCCGACGAAATCTCTATACTTATACAAAAGGCTCGGTTGGCTTATGCCAACTTAAACCGTCTGCGGCACCGCTGTGATATCTGATTATCTATTTAGGGTCGAATGTACTGTGTTTCAATGCGCTCTGTTCTACTGTATGGCTGTGAAACATGACCATTAAAGGTAGAAAACATGAGAAGGCTTCAGGTGTTTGACCACTGATGTCTTCTTAGCATAGACCGTGTTTTGTGCGGTCACCATGTGAGGAACGCAGAAGTCAGGAGGAGAGGTAAGTCAGTGATGTGGTTGTGAATCTTCATCGACTGAAATGGCTGGGTGATATGTTACTTATGCTTAACCACCGTCCGCCTCACCGCACAATGTTGGTTGAAGTTCAGGCTGCATAAAGGCTTGAGGTGGCCAGACTAAAACATGGTATCAATGTGTGAAGTCTGTGACTGTGGGTTTGAGCCATGTAGGGCGATACACACTAATGTCGGTTGGGGTCCGTAGGACAAAAGAAACCAGTGGTTGGAGGCCCTAGGTGGTATGGCTCAGAATCGGTGTCAGTTCTCGACATATGACCTTTATCTTAATCTTCAAATGGAGTTTCAAAGTCCTTGGATTCCGCCCTGCTCTCTTCTGATGAATGTCACTTTTGGCTGTTTCTTTATCTCCTTATTTTTCATCTCAGTTCATTCCTGCTTGATATGCTGATGTGAAGTGGTGCAGCTTAGACCATTACGCAGGAATCCAAGTTATATGTTGTCTGTCTGTCTGTCTGTCAAGGTAAGCAGTGTTTTATTTGAGGATTCCATTTTCATATTTGTCATCACAACGGCATCACATGGAAATGTCACCCACTGCTTACAGGAACTCTAAATGATTGATTTTAGCAATATCTAACTACATAATATTAAAGGGCGGTTATCCGGATCTTGGAAAATGTTAAGTTAGTTTTGACTAAGTACTTTTTTGGTTTTAAAAGTCAGCTTTTATAACATATTTCCTCTAATTATTTTAAGGGCCGTGTGGATTGGTTAACCGAACTGAACAGCTTTGACCTTTCGACAGTTTGTTGGTCTCGTCTACCACTATTTGAAGTGAACCGCTTAAACCCTATGCCACCACCTGTTTTTGCTGGTCAGTCTGGATGTTTCCTCCCTAAAGGTGGTGCAGGTGAACCTAGCGTATTAGTTTTGTTTGGAGGAGTGTCTCAATGTATTGGAGCTTGTGTTAATCATTTATTCGTCATATCCCGGAAAGTGGTTGTTGGATCTCACTTTCTGATGCAGTTACTAATAATCAAGGCGAATGGCCGTCTGGTCGTTGTGGTCACTCAACGTGTGCCCTTGATTCAAATCGAATGCTTTTGTTATTTGGAAATTTAGAGTCACCTTTGGCAGCTGACTACCCTGGATATCGACAACAAGAAATGTCCATTAATCGTGATCTAAATAATGATTCCAACGTACCAGGCTATCGTGGTCAACCCGCAGGCGATATTTGGATACTTACACGTTGTTATCCTCGTACTGGTCAAGGTTAGTTATCTTAAACTTTTGTATCTTATTTCCGCAGTCACAATATGCACGAGTTGCCGTACAATATCCCTACAAGAAAAGATTTCCCCTATCTTTCTGGACTATAAGTTTTACATTTTTCAACGTCTGATTGTTCCTCATTAGCAACGGTAATCTCAACTGGTAGTTTTTTTTAAAACCAATCTATTTTTAACGTTATTACTCGAAATCCATCTTTTTCTACTTTTTTATTTATTTAGTTAGGTACTAAGAGATTTCAGAAAAACATTCCCACAACCGTCTTATTCTTAATAACTTGGTTTAGTTACTGTTTCGAGGATGATACTCATCAGTAATGTACTACGTGGAAAACCAAATGGTTCTAGAGTAACTTCAAAAACCAGTGAAATTAATGCATCATGAATTTCCAGCCCATTATTAGAGCTGATTACCCGTTTCATTATTATTTTGAAGATTATCTGAAAGTACTCTAAATTTGGTCTTGATTTTTCGGAAACAGAAAACCATAAATCTAAATATCTTCTTGACTTTGGTTATTAAAGCGTTTTGACAAAATATCACTATAGTTTCTCACTCTGCAATTGCACTGTTGAATGTCTCATATAGCCCAACATGTTCATTGAATATAATGAATATGAAGGGTCTGAGGAAGAAATTCAGTTATATCTATTTTCGATAACTCCAAGGCTTTAGCAACCTATTGATTGCAGCAAATCTTGTTCACCACCAGGTGGTCGGTCAGCTTTTAAGGCTAAGTAGATTTCATTCAGTTGTGGTGATATAAATTACGTTGACTCGAGTTAGTATGCAGTTACACCGTGTCCTGCGTTGTTTCTCTATGTTTGTCCACATTTTAGCGTATCAGTTAGTTGTTATTATTATTAATACTATTCTGACCTTAATAAAAATAAAGTTGAGCGTTAAAATTTTGCAATTATTTAAATTATTAAAGAGTTAATTATCCGTGGTTCTTGCTAACAGCCTACATTAGATTTTCTACTGATAACTGCGTTTGTTCAGGTATTCTGTCTTCCCTAAAATATGTTATTCGTTATTGTATGTTTTCTTTCAGAATACCAATGTGTTGTTAACATAGAACTACCACAAAATATATTCTTCCCTTATCACTGATTTCTTAAAAGGATGATATACAGCTCTATGATTGCTGTAGTTCTGTTTTCATAGCAACATTTCCTGCTATCTCCTAATTTTAGGACGAAATTTCCTCTCTTTTTATGAATAACAGAATCGGATCTTCTTATTTAAGGGAACGAGAAGACTGAGACGCAGGAAAGAATGTTTATTATTGACATCTTGTACAGTAGTCATCAAATCCTGTACACCTTTCGAAAGACAGTCATTTGCATAATGTGCTTCATTTCTTTTTCTGCTTGTATCTCGATTTACTCTTAATACGCTCACTTTGTCTCTTGCTTTTCTCTGGGCAGAATCTTTATCCATTGCTGGTAATTCCCTATGATTTCTGCTACCCTCCAACATACACTACTTATATCCATTCTGATCAGCAACACACTACATTATAAATAAAAGATCAAGTACTTAAGCGTCTGCCTGCGTTCTGTAGTCACTGTGATGACAAGTTTACATTTGCTGCTCAGCTACTGGACTATCAACAGTTCTGAATCTATACGATTCATAACAAATCCTCTATTGTGATACAGTACCACTACCCTCGGTGTATACCTACTGTTGGTTTGATATCAGTAGCTTTTAAGTCAGATATTGTCTCAACTGGTGTTGAAATTCATTTTGTCCAAGGACAGTTCATTGTCCTTTGGGCTTCTTATTAATTTGTGGTCAGTCTCAAAATGAGTGTTTAATAAGCACCATCCCTAACTTTCTGTTCCATCTAGGTTTCTTAAGTTTCACACTGAAATTTAACACGTTTGACAAATTTTAATTGGATGGTAATCGAAGGTGAAATAAAAGTCTGGACCGCGACCGGAAACGAACCAGCGACCACCGGGCTTCCCGCTCGATGCTCTACCAACTGAGCTACGACTGCTGACCAGATTTTTACTTCACTTCGATCACCACGAGTTTTTTGCTAAAGTTTGAACGCTGAATGCAGAAGGCAGTTATATTGTTAGTTGATCGGAAGCTACCGACAGAAATCCCTAGAACTAGATTTTGTACTGATTGCTCCTAATCAAGTAATAGTCGTCAAAGTGCCCTGCAATGAATGGTTAGCATCCCAGCTTGCTATCCACATTTCAAAATAATTGAAATAATTCGGTCAGCATTCAAGACTGTGAAGCATGAAATTGGTTACCCTGCTGTCATCGACTCATATAAATTCACACTGTATTTGCCCATCGTTTTAATTTCTAAAGTACAAAAGTGTTGGTTGATTGAATCATTTTATGTGTATTCGCGAAGAACAAGGAAAAAGAAAAAACGGAAATGCAGTAGGACTACCAGAAAGTCCTTTCATACCATAGTTTTTGTGTGTCCAATATACAATGGACACACGTTCAGTGCATACAGTATTTTATAGCTTTCCAAAACACGGGATTCTGAATTATACACATATTTTTAGCAAATATGCTGTGTGACATTAAATTACCTTTACGCGATACGTTACTAAAGCAGTAGCAAGTAATCTTTCGGGATGCATTAAATATTAATTAAGAATACAGAATAATGAATGAAATACGACCTTATATGCTCCTTATTCTTCAGGACCATGTGCTACACAGATAAGGATCCCTGCTTTGAATTTCATATTCTAAGTTGTATATAGTTGATCATCTTGGATAAAAAGTTGCTACGTAGTCGGTTGTTTTTAATTAATATTCCCTCTTCGAGTTACACTTCACAAACCTTACATGCTGATTTGTTTGGGAGTTTTCGTTGTGTAATACTTGTCGTCATTGCCATTATTATTTGTTCTAACCTGGCAAGTGTGACTAGCGACATTATAAAAAACGTAAATTTTTTGGCAAATGAGTCAATTTTCGACTACTTATTTGATCTTAACATTTCTTCAATAATACATGTTTCATTTGACACAGATTGGTTTGAAGTAGACTGGTTCTGGACTAAAGTTGAATATCCTCAGGGTATTCCTGGATGTCCACCGATTGACTTTTATCATGCAAGTGCAGTTTCACTTCCTTATCGTGAAGACAATAAATCACAGGTCCTAGCAGAAAACGGTGATCTTTTTCAAACTAATAATTATTATTCAAATCATCAGAAAGAAAATGTTTTTACCGTTGTTGTCATCAGTCAACCTACTACAACGTTATTGGATGAAGCGGTCAGACAGCGCAGATATTGGCAACGTGTCAAGATCAGTTCCGAGCTGAGTAGTAAGACCTTTCAAAACAAGTCAGTAGATCAGGTTTATCATATTTCAGATTATGTTGATAATGACGAAGGTGACAGACAGCATGAACCTTGTTGTCCAGCTGATTTAAACGGTAGGAATACTTTTTCGACCGATTTTTAACCCGTATAAACGAATCTTTCAATTTTGTTTAATATTCTTGTTATTAAACCATCCATACATCTACCATCATCACATTTTCTGTGAATTATCTATTAGGGAAAAGATTTCATACATTGAGGAAGACATATGTTATCTAACGAATGGAGTTTGTATGTAATACTGATACTCAAGTAACCAAGTTATGTGACTTCCGACTCTTAAACGTCATACTGGTTTGTATAAATCTACGTTTGTGTAATTCTTGAAATAAAAGACATCATGAAGAAACTTTTGTAGGTTGACTATCTATCACAAAGTATTCGGATAATTTGTATATAAGCGTGACTAATTGCCATTCTTTTTCCTACAACTAACAGTTCGAACTAAGTTATTGCATGATGATGATAGCTGTTACAACTTAGTACAAATAATCGATGTACTGTATTATTCTCGGTTTTTTGGAAAACATTTAAAAGAGTTAACTAATTCTCACATTTGTCCGACTTAATTATTGAATTGCCATGTTAAATTACTTTCAGTGTGACTTTAGAGATTGTTTACTAGTTTTGTAATGCAGACGGATCGTCAAGTGTGGATGTTGTGACAATTAGAGCTGTCTATTCGAGTAATGCAACCGCTTAAGACTGACAAGCCGAAGAAGCCATGCTAACTTGGTTGACTAGAGGGAGACATACGTCACTCATTTCTCCCCACTATCTCCCTCAGTCTGCGATTTCAACCGAAGTAGGATTGAGAAAGTCAATGATAGCCAATCCAAGGTAACGCACGATGTATAAAATCTGACTTCATCTGGGCCATGTGGGTTGATTGTAAGATGTTCTTAAAATTAGTGGTTGAAGACCCTCAATGACTAAACTATGTAGATATTTAAAGGTCATCAGTCAATTCAAGAATGCACCCCAAAACCCGCCTACAGAAAACTTTGCATCCAGGCATCAGAAGTACTGTATGCAATTAGTTAGGGTTCGCTGGCTGATCTGCAACTAATTCTAGTTTAGTGAGTGAGTGAAGTAGTTGAATGCATCGACCAGTTCACTTAATTGAGAGTTGCATCAGCCCTCATGGGCTCGGATGCAGAAGGTCCTCCCGGCATATGTTAACTTGCGTCATCCCTGGCGCTGACTGGCAAGATATCCGGCTGCTCGTTAAAGGACGAGTATACCGCTCCACAGTCCGTCCCGTTATATGGCTGTGAGATATGACCACTAACAGCAGAAGATATGAAGAGGCTATGGTGTTGCTCAGTTATGGTGGGATCTTCATGTAAGCAATGTTGATATTAGAATAGTACTAGGCGAGGAAGGCAAGGTGGTCGATAAGGTTGTGAACCTTCAGCGACTGAGGTGGCTTGGACATTATTATTATTATTATTATTATTATTATTATTATTATTATTATTATTATTATTATTATTAGTCCCTTGGGTTCCTAGTGGAACATAGGGCTTCAGTAGCACGCCTCCAGTGACCTCTGTTCTCTGAGATCTTTTGAACCTGGTCCCACGACAGCCCACAACCTCTCATTTCCTCCTCGCACGACCTCCTCCATGTCACCCTCGCTAGGACACCCAACTCGTCGCTTCCCATGGGAATTCCACTCGAGCGACTGGCCTGACGCGTGATGTCTCCAGTCGGCCTTCTCAGTGTGTGCCCAATTCATCTCCACTTCCTCCTGCATATTTGTTGGGTGATAGGTTCTTGGTTGGTTCGTTCCCAGAGCTCCTTATTGCTTATTCTTTCTGGCAATCCATCTGATCTTCAGTAGCGAGCCAGCGTAGGCAGTTGTTGATGAATGTCTGTAATTTATTGGAAATCCCTTTCGTGACGCGCCAAGTCTCTGAACCATACAGAAGCACTGACTTGACTGACGTTGGTGTTGAAAATCCGGATGTTGTTCCACATGCCGAGTGCAGAAGATCTCCACACTGGTTTCAGGCTAATGAACGCCTGTCTTGCTTTTCCGATTCTGACTTTGACATCCTCGTCTGTGCCGCTTGTAGTTGAAACAGTGCTTCCTAGATAAGTGAAGGAGGTTACTTCCTTTAAGTTTCTCCCGTTGATGGTGATTGGAGTTTGTTGTTGTTGGAGTTGTTGGTGCGGTATCTTCATCACTTCTGTCTTGTCTATATTCACCTGAGAAGTCCCGTCTTCGCTGCCTCTTCTGCCAACTTGTTAGTTTTCATCTGTAGGTCTTTAAGTTTGTGTGACATCAGACACAAGTCACCGGCGAAATCCAGATCTTCTAGGTTCTTTTCCGCAGTCCAGCCAGCGTATCCCCCTCTTCTCTCTCCCCACTGTGTGCTGCATGATCCAGTCGGCCACAATCAGGAATATTATGGGGGATAGTAGACAGCAGCCTTGTTTCACTCCTGTCTTCACTTCACTTCAAAGGCATCACTGAGCTTCCCATTGTGAATTACTTGGCATATGGCATCTTCATATAGTTGTTGAATGAGGCTGATAAAGGTTTGCAGTACTCCGTAGTAATGAAGCAGTTTCCAAATTACTTGTCGGTCGACGCTGTCAAAGTCCTTCTCAAAGTCGATAAAGTTGAGGTAGAGAGCTGATTGCCATTCTATGCTCTGTTCTATGATGATGCGGAGCGTTGCAATTTGGTCTGCATATGATTTATACTTCCTGAAGCTAGCCAGCCTGTTCCGGTCGTAGTTTTGAATCCAGTGCGTCCTTAAGCCTCTCCAGGATGATGCGGCTTAATATTTTGCTTGGGGTAGGGGGACAGGAGAGTGATTCCGCGCCAGTTCTTGCAAACACTGAGGTCTCCCTTCTTTGGGAGTTTGACAAGGTAACCCTTCTTCCAATCACTAGCCAGGTACCTTCTCTTCCTTCCACACCTTCTGAAATAGTGGTGTGGTGTGAGCATGTCTGCTGTTGTCTTTGCGTCTGTTCTCAGTGCTTCTGGCGGTATCCCGTCTGGTCCTGCTGCTTTCCCACATCTCAGTAGCTTAATGGCGTTCAGGACTTCCACTTTTGTTGGAGGATTTATGTTCACTTGTAGTTCAGCGGCTGTAGGTGGTATTTCTGGACGAAGTACAGGTGGTGGTCGATTCAAGAGCTTCTTGAAGTGGTCGGCCCATCGTTTGATTTGTTCCCTCTCTTTCGTAATTAAATTTCCGTCATCATCTTTTATTGGTTTCATCTGTGTTGATCTCTTCCCAGATAGTAACCTGGTTATTTGATACAATGTTGTCAGGTCTCTTACCTGCAGCCTGTTCTTCTTCACTAGCCAGTGTTTCGTAGAAGTGTCTTTTGTCTTTGCGTGCACTCTTCTTCACTTCTTTGTTCAGTGTTTTATACATTGTACTCAGTTCCTCCTCTTGTTGAGCATCCTTGCACTGGTTTATCTTCTGCTTCGCCATCCCCCTCTCCTTGCTCTATCAGCTTCCAGGTATCCGTCGAGATCCATTCCTTGTCTGGATTCTTCTTCCTTCCTAACACGGCTGTGCAGGTTTCTTTCCACATAGCTTTCAAAGACTTCCAGTGTTCTTCCACACAGGTTTCTTCAGGGATGTTCCTCTATATCTCCCATTTTGTCTTGATGGCTGCCGTGAAGATTTCCTTTGTAGTTTCATCCTTCAGTTTCTGGGTGTTGTACTTGAACTGTGTGTGGTCTATCACCAGCTTCCTTGAAGGCTTTCAACTCGATTTGGAAGGTTTCTTGCACTAGATAGTGAGTGATCTTAACCTACATCTGCTCCTCTTCTTGACCTTGTGTCAAGTAGACTGCGTCTCCACTTTCTTGAGATTGAGATGAAGTCGATTTGATTTTTAGTGTGTCTGGTGTCTGATGAAATCCATGTCGTTCTGTGGATATCCTTGTGCTTGAACACTGCCTGACTCCAATCACCAAGTCGTTGAATGCACAGAATTCTGCAAACAATTCTCCATTCTCGTTCATTTCACAAACGACAGCTTCTCGACCCATGGTTAGTTCTCTTCCTGTGTTGTCCCTTCCCAGTTTTGCATTCATGTCGCCCATTAGAATTTTGATGTCACCAACTGACGTCTTGTTCAGTGTTGATTGAAGTTGTCTGTAGAATTCCTCCTTTTTCTCTTGCTCTGCATTATTTGTAGGTGCATAGTAGCATTGTATGATTGTGACTTTCCTTCCTTTTGAGTTGAATCTTGCTGTCATGATCCTGATTGTGGAGGAGATTGGTTCCCACTTCATGAGAGCCTTCGATGCTGTTGGGACATCATGATAGCCACTCCAAAACTCAGTGTCCTGTGCTCGTGGTTGTCGTCTGGTTGACAATATCGGAGTAGATTATTGCTTCTCCAGTTGACAGTTTGGAGAGTCCACTCCCATTCCATCTGCTTTCGCAAATCCCAAGTACTTCAATGTGATACCTTCTCATCTCTTTTGCAATCTGGGCTTCCTTGCTGGGTTTCAACATGGTGCGGACATTCTATGTCCCCACGTTTACTTTCGCTTTCATCGAGAGAAGCGAAGACACATCGGCCCGGCCAATTGGCTTCCCGAAGGCTTTCACCAACTGGCGTCATTTCGCCTCTCCGATTGCAGTGAGGAATAATTTTCTTATTATTTTTTATATATCGTTAGTGCTTTGAAGTTTCTTTAGCGGTTAGATTTGTTTTGCGGGTAGGGTTGCTAGCCGTATGCCTAACCTTCTCTCTTTACCCGGGCTTAGGACCGGCTAGTAACTAGTGAATCAGTTAACCAGGCGAGGTTAGCTTGGACATGGTTTGTGCATATTGAACCACTGCCTATCTCTAAGAACAATACTAGAAGTCAGTTAGAGGGACATCTCAGAACAGACAGACCAAGGTGTGACGCCAGTAGTTGAAGTTTCTGACTGTTAGTCTGAGCCGTGTGGGGAGGTGTAGACTATGTAGCTAGGGTCTGTGAGACGATAAAAACCAGTGGTTGACAACTGTTGGTGATATGGCTGAAAATCAACTATAATGGCACAAACGCATTCACTTTTTTTGTCTTCTTAAGCCTGAACAAATTCACTGATCGTGATTTTCAAATTTCTTTCTTTCCTTTCTGTGTCCTTTGTTATCACTGTTTGTCTGCGCACTTGTTCTTTACGTTCTGCTGTTAATTGTTGGAAATCAAACCGATACACTTTTATTACTGACTCCAAGAAGAGATAAAGACATACTCATGAATAAAAGATAAGAAAATGTCATAAATTCAGTAAAATTCGAAGTGAGAATATTCGATGCTCACTGTGTCACTACGTAACTTGGTTGTCCTAAGTTCGGTGCCCCTATTCGGTTAGTCCTAGACTCTGACAAACGGAGAACGAGAGCCTGCAATGTGTTTGGTTATTATGTTACAAACGTTAAGATAGTCTTCAGTTCAGTTCCCCTACCACTTTAGTGAACTCTTACTAGTTTCTGTATGTAAGGAGGTTCTATAGTGTTATTCGTTATGTTTCAGCACAAATCATTATAGTTCCAGGTATCGTTTTTTATATTACAGTTCATACATCTGAATCTGACCGGATACTTCATGTTCCGTCGTCCAGGCGTTCGAATAACAGACGTGCTCGGAGATTGGAAGCTTTATCGAATCAAGAGCGGAGACTTTTCGGAACGCGTAATTCATCTCATTGCGGAAATAACACCATATCTAATCAATCACTTGCATCAAATCAAATGTTATCTGTTAATAACCGATGTCTTTATAACCCTATGATATTTAATAGTCCTGTTCGTCCTTTAGCTGTGTATTCGCTAAATCTTACATGCTTCTATTCGGATATTTCATGTGATACCAAAACAAGAATCAGTTTCACTGAATGTACAGCAAAAGGTTTGTGGCTGGTTCCTATCAAACACAGTTATTTAGATCTTTACTTTGCCCCTCCAGAATGCTTAGGATTCTCGTGCACATTTGGACATGATTGTTTATTTCTTTTTGGAGGTCTAACTGATTCGGAAGATGTCAGGTTGGATGAGGGGAGGAATTTGATTTCCGTAGAACCTGATGCATCACAGAATCGAGATAATGATGATCACTGTCATCGGTCTATTAATTCACCTACTTTACCCTTATCTTCAGTAACAAACGAATCTCTTACACAAGGTCACCTTACTCCTCGTGTAAATACGTCAGATATAATTTACCGTAATTCTCTAGGTACTGCTCAGTTTTTCGTCCTTCGTCCACGCGCACTTGCTGGAACAATAATTTGAAGTGACTATTTTTACGGGAAAATATATCCACTGTGGAATTTCGCGTACATTTCCGAAAGGTATTGGATCCCAATTGTTTCAACAAACCTCAAGCACAAAGATGTATTGAACCATCCCCTGAACGGTGTTTAGATTTTCATGGTTCACTGACAAATTATTGCATTGTTCCCTGCAGCCTTTCTAAATACAGGTCTATACGAATACATTTCGTTTCTTAAAAATTAATAATGTATTTTTCGTTTTATTCTTTACTTTTCTCTATGTAGTGCATAAATTGTATATCAAGTGACTTCAAATACGTTAATTTTATCTATTCCGGAATCTTGGTTTCTCTTTTTGACTTTTATCAGCCTATAAACCTGTTTTACAGCACACTCCCCATTTATCTTCATTCCGTTATTCATTACTATTTTTATTCCTTATTGACAATTAGCACTTATTTCCTTCAACTTCATTTGAAACTGTAAACTAATGCTTCGCTTTTGTCTTATGAAAATTATTTGACTTTATTGAAGGTGTGAAATTACTATTCATGTACATTTCTTTGTTATTTATAAGAAGCAAGAGTTTATTTATGAAATAATGACTTTCATTTTTAATACAGTTGAGTACAATACTGCTCGGATTATTATTTTATTGAAATTTATTCTGTACATTTATTCATCTATCAAGTAAGTTGACTGTTGTCATTTCATGTTTCGCTCAGTCAACATATTAACTGAATGTGCCTAACTGTATGTGCCTATTTATGTACATCATCTAATTTATCAACTAACTGTCATATAGTTTTACTAATTAGGCAATCTAAGTAGAATTTCAAGCACTCACGTGAAAACAATGTTACTTCTATGTTAATTTATACCATGGGTATCTGAAATTCTCGGGTCAGACATAAAACGTAGGTTCCAGGGCTTCCTAGTTTTGACTCCAACCATCTCATTACATGTCCAAGTATATCTAAGATTTTGCATTACCTTGTTTGACATTATTGTTTTAACTCTTGGATTTGTTATTATTCTTAAATGAATAGGCTTTTCTCAATGTTGTTTTTAAGCATATCAATTGGAACCGATGCAGCGTTGTAAAAGTGTTTTCGTTTCCACCAGTGAATATTTCTGAGCTGCGTGGTAAACCTTTACGTGTATAGACTAGTGTATTAGTAAAGGTACTTTTCAGTTGTTGCTTGTCTTTACATTATATACTGTTCAAATCCGACTTTTCAATTGTCCTTCACCTATTTGACAAGACTGTGATATGTATTTTTTTGTCAGTTTATGTTCGTGCTTACAACATTATTAATCACTTAGTGAATAAATCATCACTGGTGGTATAGCTCCACACAGCTTTTCTTGTAGTTCTTTTACGGGTAACATTTACAGTGAATGCGACATATTTTCCTTTGGAAAAGATTCGCTCTTAAACAAAAGTTTAAATAAGCAACCGACATACTAATTAAAAGTATCCAGTGATGCTTTCATCCACCTTCACTGTTTGTAATTCAGCCTTCACTTTCTGGCCAGCTCATATAGAGAAACGTATTACCCAATTCGGGAACAGCACGACGGTTAAAATACTGAAGCTGCCTTCAAAAACGTACGAGCTAGACATTTATGACTGACTGACGTTGAAAAAATTAACGCAGAGACTTGCACACATGTGCATGGGCTCAAGTTGCCAGGACTTAGAGCAGTATACAAAAAACAGGTGGATAGAATAGAAGTAATATCAGAGAAGATAAAGTAGTGTGACAAAATCAACAATATGAGGATAAGGGATAACGCAAATTTTCAAGATTTAGCCATTTATGATAGAAAAAAAAATACACGATTCTTACTCCATAACCCCGGTTACACTTTCACTCGATTACAGAAATGCAAACCTAGGCAAAAATGACTTGCAGAAAACAGAAAGTGACAGTCGACTGCAATACCGTCCGAATAAGCGAAAGTTCATAAAGACAAACTTTGAGGGCGATGAGGAGCCAAAGCGACTATGAGCAAATAAGTCGAAAAAGATTGAAGAGGTAATGGCGTTAGGTAGCAGTAGCATTCATTTAGACTGTTCAAGGAGGCTCAGGTAGAAACGTTAGCGAAACTATAGGCGCAAAAGATGCATCAATGACTTACTTGTAGCGGAGATGGTAAGAACAATGGACAGACGGTGATGAGTGGAAGAGTTCAACTGGCCTCCAGTTACTATTCCGTCACCCGCAGCAGTTTGTTATCTTCCACTATATGGCTATGAAACATGACGGTTAGAGGTAGAGTAAATAAGAAGTCTTGAAGTGTTGGATCACCGTCGTGTTCATAACATAAACCGCCTTCCATGGTATCAGTGAAGTAACGTTTCAGACAGAAGAGAAAAGTTTGTCAACGAGATTGTAAACTGTCATCGACTCAGATGGCTGCAACATGTTTCATGCATGTCTAGTCGTGATCTGCTTCATCGTACAGTGCTGGTTTAAGCAGATCTGGGATGGAGGAAGGTTAGAGGTGGACAGAATAAAACATGGCCTCAGTCTACGATATATGTGGCTATTGATCTGAGCGGCATAAAGAAATAGACTACCCTACCCGGTTAGGGTCCGTGTGACAACCAAAAATGGTGGTTGAAGATTTTAGATGATTTGGTTCAGAATCGATGTCAACTGCGCAGATGTCTCCATGCGTTACCTTCATCCTACTGAGTTTCTTTGTCTCATTCTCTGTTCTCTTATTACGAAATTGCATCACTTTGGACACTTTCATCTTGGTTCATTCTCGCTCCATGGGGTGTGGCAACTGGGATCGTTACGCAATAATGCCATGACTGTATTGACTTGACTCGGTGATTTAGATATGCCATGGGTCAGGTCGCTACGCAATGGATAGAATATTTTCTATTTTACTTCGCCGAATATGAAGATACGCGATCTGTTGGAATCTATGTCTGCGAAACCATCTCATGCCCTGGCACGCTGCATTGGCGCATGAAATTGCGGTGAAGTACACTCGACACTTAATAGGCAGTCGGGTACCAGTCGCCCCTTTTAAATCGACGCAGAGATTTCGTAGAGCAGTGAAACGTCAGGGGTGAAGTGATCGGTGTTCTGAATCACACCGGTGGCTATCCTCAAACCAGAAAGAAGTGAATGGAGGTGAGCGTCCAAGCATAAATTTGCGTTTGGCTTGTATCAAATGCACGCCAAACATTCTAGTGTAATCGGTTAAGGTATTCAGTTGACTTTGTACTATGTCAGCTTCGTCGCCAGATATGACTTCATTGTCCGCGCACTGCAAGTAAGTCAGGTTCTTTCTTGGCAGTGTGTGGGTCGTTTGAAAGTCGGAGGTACTTTGTTTTATATCCATAAGTACGTCTATAAGCAAGTTGAACGGAGATGATGACACTGGACACCTTTGGTGGACGAAAGCGGTTGTTGAGCTTTCAAATGACAATTCCCTTGCACAGCTATGTGACTTAGATCAAATAGCTTTTGTGAGTATCATTCACCTACTGAATATTCTGTCTCCTGTCAAACTGTGGCAAAATACTTCTCTATCTCCGAAGTGTAATACTACCCTCAGGTAAGAGAAAATAGCAAGTATCAGGCACCGGCTAGTTTGCCTTTCTCTCGAAACCTGTCGGTGCGGACATCTGATTGATGCAGTCATCCACAGATGATGCCTTCCTATTTTTTCTGTTCTGATGGTTTGTTTTTTTGTCAGGCGTTTGATCTCTGCAAGTTTTTCTGAATTAACTTTTATTCTAGCTTTTTTCCAATGCTTGTATTGAATGGTTTCTGATCTTTCTTTCTGCGAAATAGTTGATATGCTGGTGTTTATGAAGTAGCTAACTCTGTTTCCCAAACATTTGTTATCTGAATTTCTATGCGGAGTGATGTTTTATCTGTATCCCCATAAACTTGTGCTAGTCAACTGTAGGTTGTTACTGCTTTGCTTTTCTTCAAACTTGAAATATGCTACTAAACTTCGAAGAATACCGGATGATCAGCGCCTATTTAATGGTAAGTTTTTATTCTGGTTACTGGTCAACTAACTTTTGACTGATGGCTAGCTGATCTTTTCTTGATGCTGTTCATCTCAACGTTGTAACCATCTATCTTCAGAAGTTATCAGATTTCCATCCTCTACGGTATTGCTTCACTACGTATCTTACTGTTACTGACTGATTACCATTACGTTTTATTTTACTTTGAGGTTTACCTTCCCAAATCTTAGTCAGCTCCAATCTCTCATTAAAATCCTCACAATAGTTTACACAGATTATTGCTTACAATTAGTGTTAGTATTTTTGACCTATTTATTTTTTAACCTGTTAGTCATCAAGTTAGTCTGCTGCATATTTTCCTTAAACACACTACTATACATTCCCTTCCTAACCCTACAATCGGCTCACTATTTCACCTTAGGGAATTCCATTTTGATGACCTATTAGCCAGTAGGAGACTAATCTGTTTGATTGTTATTGCTTTAAATTCGATTGTACAGCTCCTGAAAATGATTCGTCGGAAAGAAAATTTTCTTCACTGAGTTAATTTGTGTTTTTCATTGTCTTCTTGCTGGTATCCCTAATACCCCTAAATAATTACTATATGTTACCTGATGCCGATTTTCTCTCAACATCTTTCATTTTAGCCAAAAATAATCTTCATGGTCGTTGCGAATCTTCTAGTTAGTTTACGTTTGAACTGTTTTCTCTCATTGTAGTCAGAGCCAGCTGAAATGTATCTTCTTGTACCAATTAGTTTGGACGAGGTTGTAGAAGTTCACTGGCTTTTGCTAACCTTTCGGATGTAGGTTACCGACTGTCGTTAACTTTGTTTCTCCAACAGACTAGATATTACGCCGTGCTGCACTCATGTACGAATTGCTACTATGTGCAGAAAAAGACTGGGATGTTTTACACTTAGAGTTCCTAACTGACTTTATGATCTCCTAGTCAAGCACACAGAGACTCCACTACTGTTTGTTTCCTACGCCCATTGAAGTGTAAACATACACATACCCTTACTAATGCATGGTCAGTCAAGCCAGGTACTTCAGAAAGTGTCACTCCCCTTAACCTGTGACTGGTAGCAATACGCTTTATGTATGTGCACCTTTGGTTTAATGTCGGTAGATATCATCTGAGACAGTGTTTCCCCTTGTGCTCGAAGTTAGTGTTAGCCAGTAAAATGTGACTGTCAGAAAAAGCTTTAGAACATGGTTACAGTTTTCGGTTAGTTGGCGTGTGATATCTTTTCTGGTTGGGTTAGCTTTTTTGAGTGTTGAAGCTGTATGCTACTATTATATCTGAACGTTTTGCTTTGTGTAGCAGGACTGAGAGCTTTTGGTAGAACCCATTTTTGCATCATCCGAACTACATTCGGTACGTGGGCGGTAGCTGTGACTAGGCGCCAACGGTCTTTTCCACTGTGTATAAATGTTTCAGGATTTGAACAATGAAATTTGTCTATTAAATGATAACGAAAAGAGAATTATTTAATAAGGAAGACTATCTCTCCTTGTCATTTTTATGCTGTATAGGCGTTTTATTCATTTGTAGACATTCTTCTTTTTTTCACCACTTCTCAAAATGGGCTTCAGTGCTTTTAATTCTTTCTTAAAGCATTCTTACACAGAAGTACCAGAATAGGCAGCTTTTGAGTGCTGGGTTTGAAATACGACTTTCGATGGTACACACTGACTATTGGCTTGTAACCCCAAGGAATTACTGTCGCACTAACTGACGACATAATAACTGTGTTTGAACTTAAATTCATATCCCAGCTAATAGTAACTAGCTGCTCACCTTCCTTTAGCTCATTAGCGTTTTTGGGGTTTTCACCAGTAACTTAACTAGAAAGATTACCCA